GCTCTAAGTTCCAATTTATTAAGAGAGACGAGAGACATGTTGGCACATCTGTGGAAAACCCAAATCTGAAAGCTTCCTAGGTTTTCCACCCAGTTGAAAGTTCATGATTTTCCCCCCACACCCATAAGTCCATCACATGGTCTAATCTTCCATTGCCATGCTGGCATCTTCACCTATCCATTTCCGGTCAGGTGCAGAGGTGCAGAGACAAAGAATGACCTTGGGCTTCTAGAAATGAATGTTTTATTTTGACAACAACATTCTACTCCTTACTATTCCTCCTCCCAATTACCCACTAATGAAACAACATAGTAATATAAGAGAGAGTGTGGCAGGCCAAAGATCCTAAAAGGAATAGGGGTGGCGCAGTGGGTAGAGTGCAGTACTGCAGGCCACTTCAGCTGACTGCTAGTTCAGCAGTTCAGTGGTTCAAATATCACCGGCTCAGGGTTGACTCAGCCTTCCATCCTTCCGAGGTGGGTAAAATGAGGACCCAGATTGTTGGGGGGACGATATGCTGACTCTGTAAACCGCTTAGAGAGGGCTGAAAGCCCTATGAAGCGGTATATAAGTCTAACTGCTATTGCTATAATATGACTAGAGGCATGACACTATATTTCAAGCCACAATTTGTATAGGATTCCCATAATCAAGATATTCTGACTGGGTGGTTGATTAGGGAATAAGGGTACCGAATGTCAGGTTGCTTTTGGAGCTAGATCAATATTCACTATACTTCCCCTGTAAACACAATTATTATAGAGTTCAATATTCAGACTAGGATCATTTAGTGAATCTCCACTGATCATTTCAATACCAGTCCTTTGCTTTGTAAGCTGTAATTTTCTGAGGAGATGATAAAGGGACATATAAGAATTAAAGCATCTCCCCTCCATCTTAACAGCCCTTCTCCTCTTTTTTTTTTTTTATATTCCTGCCTGACATCCCTCTGTCACCCACAAACATGCACACCGGTCTTCTTCAACTCTGTATACTAGCATTTTTGCCAGGTCATAATTCACTAAGACAATTTTACCAGGTCTCTAGAGCTGCTCAGAGATTAGCTGCCAGAGCTGAAATATTACTATTCCTGTGATCAAACGTACAAAGGCTCTCTCATTAAGCAACCTGCTCTGGAAGTGTTCTTGTCAGTATATGTATCAGAATAGAGTAAATGGCATTTTCTATGTGGATCTGTGTATATAGTGTGTAGATAAAACATACACCTTCATATGCACACAAACAACAAGGTATGCCTTTATAAGTAATTGTCTATATAATAATTATATATATAATCCATGCCAAATTACTATGTATTGTCAAGAAATTATGAAGCTAGTTTTCCCTTGTGGGTTCCCCATATCAAAACAAGTTACCTTATGTGCAGCCAGAATCTGAAAATAACATTTAACACAGTGGTGTTCGGTTGAGATTGGCATATGTGATTGGGGTAGATTGTAGGGGTGATACAGAAATATAATATAATTTCATCGTATTTTATTTATCTATATATTAAATTATTGTAATTATTGTATTTTATTCCAATTTCATTTTAAATAGTATTTTATCCAATTCCATTTTAAAGTGTTTTTTATCACATTTTAGTAATAATTTGTGTCTGGAACTCTGCACTTTGATATGACCCAAAGGGTAAGAAAACTGACATTTCCTGGGGGTGGGGGGGTGGGGGGGTTCTGTGGTCATGTGTGGCAAGAATTATCTAATCCTTGCCACACATGACCACAGCCCATCTGACAGCCCAAGCTTCACGCCTGAGCGCCACACATCAGGATGACCTCCCATAGCTTTCCCCAATTCCTGCAAACCTAGCATATGCGAGTAGATAAATAGGTACCACTTCAGTGAGAAGGTAACTGCGTTCTATATGCCTTGGTGTATGGCCATGCTGGTCAGATGACCATGGAAGTGTCTTTGGACAACACTGGCTCCCTCAGCTAAGAAACAGAGATGAGCACTGCCCCCAGAGCCAGACAGCTTTAATCATAATACTGGGATTTTATTAAAAGTTTCTTCAATACCAATTTGGTTCTGATTCGGCCATTTCTGGCTGCTCTTGAGTTCAATTATGGCTGTCAGCCTGAGCAAGATTGTGCAAAGATTTAAGAAAGACTCGTTCCAAGGTAACACATAAAGAGAAATTATACAGTAAAAATTGTGAAATCATGAATACCTGAAAGTATATTTATGCATTTATTTGGAGCTGTTAAGAGGCTTCTTATGTGCTAATGATTGGCTCTCACCTTTCTGCCTTCCCCACACCTACAGATCTAATTCAATGCCCAATCGTGACTCTCATGTTCTTTAACACATCTCTTTCAGAAGGCCCATTTCTCTGCATGTATTATATTACTTACAGGTGCATGCATTTCTTCCATCAGACATGATGATTCTGAATTGTTAATCCTCTATCGGACTCTGTAGCCTCAGATACAGGATTAGGAAAAGAAAGATATGTCATTGCTGAAGGCTGCTACAAAAGGCATCTCAGTAATCTTCAACCACCGAGATACAGTACCGTAATCTCATTGAATTGCAGTTTCTGTTTGGGCCATTTCAGCACTTTGAGTTACAATTTAATTTGCAATGCCCTTAATGGCTTGGGGCTGGGATATTTATACATAATACTTCCTTAACCTATCTAAATGTATCTGTCATATGTCTAAGTCTACCTGTAGATCTTAGTAATGCTGTTTGGGAGAATCGCATCCTTGGTTTTAGAACTATATCTATGAACAGCTGTTCTGGACTCAGCTGACTATACAAAAGGATTCTTTATTATTCATAGTAAGATCAAAGTGTTAATGGATTGAGATGACTGCTTTTGGCAGAGCTTGAAGGGCCACAGATTGTTACAATTTGAGGAATCAACTGCCTATCTTCCTTTGAGTGCAGTCAATAAAAATGAGTAAGGGGAGATATCCCTTCTTCCTAGCCAATATCATGCACAATCTGAATCAAAAAGGATAAATGGAGACAAGGGAGATAAGCCAATAGTTTTGCTTTACAATGGGCTTCTCTGACTTACTGTCTGTAGATATTTTGGACTACAACTCCCATCAACCTCCAACTTTTTGGTCACTCATGGCAAGTGCTGATGTCCCTGGATTGGATAGCATTTTGATGGGAGAGTTTAACAGATTATGTGTTCATTGTTTATTATTAATAGTAACAATAGTACATGCATGTATTATCTAGTATTGCATTTACATGTTATCTATTCTCTGAGAGCTCAAGGCAATATATATTGGGTCTCCCTACAACAACCCCTGTCAGAGAGAATGATGTGTGGGGGAGTGGTGGCTTGTGGTAAAGCTGTGGTGGTACATTGATTAGAGTGCAGTAGTGCAGGCTGCCTCTGCTGACTGCTGGCTGCTTGGGTTTTGGCAGTTCATATCTCACCAGGTTCAAGGTTGACTCAGCTTTCCATCCTTCCAATGTGGGTAAAATGAGGACCCAGATTGTTGGGGGCAATAGGCTGTCTCTGTAAATCAGTTAGAGAAGGATGTAAAGCAATGTGAAGCGGTATATAAGTCTAAATGCTATTGCTAAAGGGATTGCTTAACTGGTATTCCCTGGTTGAAGTTCAGCATTTTAACTAAAGCACACTAGCTATTTTTATAGATTTTCAAATATAGTAGGCTGCCTAATTGGAAAGCCAGAAACATCACCACTGTCAACAGATATTTCACAGGATTGTATTATTGTCTATGCTATTATCCTAAAATCATAATGTTTTGTAATATAACAGCAAGTAGAAAGTACCTTTCCCTTCAAAGCTTTTTATCTCCATCTCCTGGTTTAAACATGACAGTAGAATGCTCTGCAACTTGACCAGTTTTAATAACCTTCTTCAAGGTGGCACCTTCCAGATATGTTACAACTTACTAGTATGCACGAAAAGCATTATGGAAACTGCAGCCCCAGTGTCAGTTGGGAGAGGTTGTGTGACAATATGATTATGGTGATATACTTGATTCAATAAGAGCCATTTTGATGCTTAGCTGAGAAATAAATATTGTGGGTTTTTTAAAAAAAACCAAATAGAACCTTTAAACTGGGCATTCTCTGTGGGTTTTTTTTTTTTTTACATTGCTATGTTTTGGGGAACCTTAACTCCTCTTTGAGCAAAAGTGGATTTTGTTAGTATAGGAAAAAATGGTATGAGCAAATGAAGGGCTACAGAAGCAAGAAATTACCAAAGCAGAGATGTTAGGGAGATCAGAGAGCAATGAAGTTCAAATGACTACATATTGCATGCTAACATTCTCTACAAGAATCTGAACTACTAACAGTCAAAGCAAATTGGCGGTAGATGAGATTCAGCGGAATTCAAGGTGGGCTGGATAGCCTGGACTTAGATCTCTTGTGGGTTCAAAGGGCCTCAAGACTGACGATGAGCTAGACCCCTCCTTTGGGCTCACCCTGGTCATTTCCTACAAGAGGGTCTACCTTCAGGAGCACAATATTCACATTTAGTGGGAATCTCACTGAAACTGAGTCTTTTTCATCTTCCAGTATAATTTGACCTGTAAAGATCATCCCTTTCAGTCTTTTTTCCCCCCATGAGATGTCTTTGGATGAGTCTTTCCTAAAATTAATGCTCTGCAGAAGCTCTGAACTACAGTTTCCAGGAAAAGTACCATAACTCTGGAAGCATCAAGCTGGGGAAAGCTTTGATCTTACCAGGCGGATAGCTCTAGTTTATGTCATTTTATAATGACTTTGCTTCCAGGGATATTTCTGGACAATTAAATATCCTCAAAAAGCTGTCGATTGAGCAGCAGTCATCGTGAATTTTTAATTTTCTGTGACCTAAATTCAAACTGAGCATATCACTGAGTTGCCTGAAACTCTCCTTATTAGGATCATTCTTTCACTTTCCCAAGTGTGCACACATTTCTATTCATTTTACTTATTGTTCTATTACTCTGCAGGCCTTTTGATTCATTTTAACTTGCATACATAGCTCAGGAGTGCTGATTTTTTTTGTCTTAATAATCTTCATTTTTTCTTTTCCTTTTTTTTACACTATAGCTACAAGCTCCTAGCGTAAAAGGCTTTGATTTTGCAAAGCAGCATTTAGGCCAGCATAACAAGGATGACATCCTGATCATACATGAACCAACTCCTCTGCCAGGACCAATTAAAGATGCCACACCTTCTGAAAATGGTGACCTGCCAAGCCCCAAGACCAAGTTATCTTCAAAGCCTTCCAAGAATGTCCGACATAGAGGGAGGTCAGTTCAGAGGATGAGAAAGTGCTCAGCACATTTTAAAGTTAATTAACTGTGAATGATTTATTTTATTCTTTGAAGCTTTTTTCTCAGTTTGAATAGCTTTTTGCTCCAGGATGTTTTTTTTTAATAAGCCCAGAAGGATTTGTTTCCTAGGCTCATCTGCTGGGTTCCAAATTTTGTGGATTTGTTTTCAGGTTACAAGTGTGTTGAATGCACCAACAACATGACTTTGTGGCATCAAGCTTTGATGTGATGTAATAATGTAAAGTTTCAAGATGGTTCAACAGCCTTCTCGGATGTGATTCTTTTCTAATATGTAGAAAGATTTCATAAATATCCAAAATAGCCGTGGTTGCTACAGACCCTCTTATATAATTAAAGGGAAGTGTACACATTTCTTCATTCCACTACTTAATGACTAGATCTGCTGATGGAGATCCTTTTAGCATTTGGTTCTTTGAGCTTGAAAGCTCACTACCCTGCATATAGTGTTCCAACTTCACTGAAAATGGAGGCTCCATTATGTAAATTATTTTATGTACATATCCCCAAATGGAAGCTTAAAAAATGAAAATAAGAACCTTGAAAGCAATCATTACCCCCAAATGCAGTTATTCATACTGGTTAAAAAAGAAAAAAGTAGAATAAATATTACATCAATTTTTAAAAAGGTAAGAACAGAAATGTAAGAAATAGTAAATTCAAACAGCGAAAGTCCTATTATATCACAACATACATGTTTGTCAATGTTTGTCAAAAATCAATGCCCTTACTGGATGGGGCATATCTGCGGATTTCTGAATATATCATTTGAATGGATATATTCTACTTGTTACATCTGTAATTGACAATTACGGTAGTTATTTATGCCGTGAATCTATCTCATCCTCGTACATGGAGCTATACTTTTTGCAAAGCCATTCAAAGCATTTAAAAGTGTATTGACATAGACAAAGCCCTTAATGGTTTTGTAAAAAGCATGTTCTTGGGGAGTTCCAGCAAAATACATGTCCATGACTAAGTGTGCACATGATAAGGGAGCTTCCAAAGCAGCTGTGTCAAAAGACTTCTAAAAGACCCAGATACTTCAATACTTTAAAGAGGACTGCTTCATTCATACCCATTGTGCTTTGCAGAATCTCCCTTTCAGCTGATTTGTGCAGTGTTTAGTTTGTCTGGAATCTACTGCCATAGTATGTTAATGCATGCAGTGGAAGGTGAACGAAAATAGATTTATTTAAAGGATAAATTTAATTAACGCAGAGAGAGCTAATTTGGTGTAGTGGGTAGGACATCAGGGTAAAATCTGGAAGAACTGTAATTCTAACTCTGTTTTAGGCCTGACGTCAACAGGGCAACCTTGGGCCAGTCATTCTCATTCAGCCCTTGGAAAACCAGTAGCAATCCATTCCCCAAATTCTCCAAGAATACTGCAGAGATTTATCCAGAAAATCTACAGGAATTATTCAAAGGCCCAAATCTCAATCTCTCCCGCTCCCTCTCTCCCTCCCTTCCTCTCTCTCCCTCCCCCCTCTCTCCCTCCCCCTCCCCCCCTCCCTCCCTTTCCCTCCCCCCCCCCCCTCCCTCTCTTCCCCCCCCTCTCCCTCCCCCCTCTCTCCCTCCCCCTCCCCCCCTCCCTCCCTTTCCCTCCCCCCCCCCCCTCCCTCTCTTCCCCCCCCTCTCCCTCCCCCCT